TTTCCAGCCCCCTGGCTGTGTTCCCAAGATTTCCCAGCTTTTCCATCTCCCTGTCAGTGTGTTTCTAAGGTTTTCCCAGTTTTTCCAGCCCTCTACCTGTGTGTTTCCAAGGTTTTCCCAGCTTTTCCACCCCTGTCTGTGTTTTCCAAGGTTTTCCCAGCTTTTCCAGCCCCCTGCCTGTGTGTATCAGAGGATTTCCCAGCTTTTCCATCTCCCTGTCTATGTATTTCTGAGGTTTCCCAGCTTTTCCAGCCCCCTGTCTGTGTTTCCAAAGTTTTCCCAGCTTTTCCAGCCCCTGCCTGTGTGTTTCCAAGATTTCCCAGCTTTTCCAGCCCCCTGTGTTTCCAAAGTTTTCCCAGCTTTTCCTGACTGTGTGTGAGGTTTTCCCCAGCTTTTCCAGCCCCCTACCTGTTTCCAAGGTTTTCCCAGCTTTTCCAGCCTCCTGCCTGTGTGTTTCTGAGGTTTCCCAGCTTTTCCAGCCCCTTGCTTCTCTGTTTCCAAGATTTCCCAGCTTTTCCAGCCCCCTGTCTGTTTCTGAGGCTTTCCCAGCTTTTTCACCCCCCGTGTTTCCAAAATTTCCCAGCTTTTCCAGCTCCCTGTTTCTGTGTTCCCAAAATTTTCCAGCCCCCTGCCCATGTGTTTCCAAAGTTTTCCCAGCTTTTCCAGCCCCCTGTCTGTGTTTCTGAGGTTTTCACATATTTTCCAGCCCCCTGCCCATGTGTTTCTGAGGTTTTCCCAGCTTTTCCAATCCCCTCCCTGTGTGTTTCCAAAGTTTCCCCAGCTTTTCCTGACTGTGTGTGAGGTTTTCTCCACCTTTTCCAGCCCCCTACCTGTGTGTATCAGAGGATTTCCCAGCTTTTCCATCTCCCTGTCTATGTATTTCTGAGGTTTCCCAGCTTTTCCAATCCCCTACCTGTGTGTTTCCAAAGTTTCCCCAGCTTTTCCAGGCCCTGTCTGTGTGTTTCCAAGGTTTTCCCAGATTTTCCAGTATTTGCCTGTGGGTTTCTGAGGTTTTCCCAGCTTTTCCATCCCCTGTCTGTGTTTCCAAAGTTTTCCCAGCTTTTCCACCCACTGTGTGTTCCCAAGATTTTCCAGCTTTTCCAGCCCCTGCCCATGTGTTTCTAAGATTTCCCAGCTTTTCCAGCCCCCTGCTTCCAAGATTTCCCAGCTTTTCCAGCCCCCTGCCCATGTGTTTCCAAAGTTTTCCCAGCTTTTCCTGACTGTGTGTGAGGTTTTCCCAGTTTTTCCAGCCCCCTGTCTGTGTTTCCAAGGTTTTCCAGCTTTTCCACCCCCTTGCCCGTGTGTTCCCAAAATTTTCCAGCCTCCATTTTCTTCCAGTCCTCCTTGAAGATTTTATTTCCAAACCACCTCAGTCAGCTTTTCCAGCCCCCTACCTGTTTCCAAGGTTTTCCCAGCTTTTCCAGCCTCCTGCCTGTGTGTTTCTGAGGTTTCCCAGCTTTTCCAGCCCCTTGCTTCTCTGTTTCCAAGATTTCCCAGCTTTTCCAACCCCCTGTCTGTTTCCAAGGTTTTCCCAAGCTTTTCCAGCCCCCTGTCTGTTTCTGAGGCTTTCCCAGCTTTTTCACCCCCCGTGTTTCCAAAATTTCCCAGCTTTTCCAGCTCCCTGTTTCTGTGTTCCCAAAATTTTCCAGCCCCCTGCCCATGTGTTTCCAAAGTTTTCCCAGTTTTTCCAGCCTCTTGCCTGTGTGTTTCTGAGGTTTTCCCAGCTTTTCCAGCCCCCTGCTTCCAAGATTTCCCAGCTTTTCCAGCCCCCTGCCCATGTGTTTCCAAAGTTTTCCCAGCTTTTCCTGACTGTGTGTGAGGTTTTCCCAGTTTTTCCAGCCCCCTGTCTGTGTTTCCAAGGTTTTCCTGGCTTTTCCACCCCCTTGCCCGTGTGTTCCCAAAATTTTCCAGCCTCCATTTTCTTCCAGTCCTCCTTGAAGATTTTATTTCCAAACCACCTCAGTTTATCCCTGAATAAATAGTAAAAATCACGGTAAAACAGTAAAAATAACAGTTTGTGCAACGTGCTGTCACAGGATGAACACAGGACTAATTCCCTGCAATGGAAGGAGTTCTTGTCCTCGTTAGTGGTCTGGGTGATCTTTGGATGATTTTTGAATGAACAATCAGTTTTGAATGATTTCTCTCATTTTGGACCAATCCCTTAAAATTCCTAATCCAAGTGCCAGAATAACTTCATGTCTTTCAAAACAAAAAGTGGGGTTTTTGTCATCTGGTGCTGATTCAAGATCTGGGTTTGTGTTTCCATTTGGGTTTGTTTGGTTGGTTGGTTTTTGTTGTTTTTTTAAAGTAAAAGAACCTACAAAGACAAATCAGTGGCTAATTCAGAGGTTCTAAAAAGTGAATCCAGGAGAAGGCAAACTTGGTGTAGTAAGATTTTTTTTGAGTGTTCAACTCTTCTAAAGTTTTTTTTTTCTTTTTTTTCCATTTTTAAAAGTTTGTTTTGTTTTTTTCTCTTTTTTTCCTTTTTTAAAAGTTTGTTTTGTTTTTTCTCTTTTTGTTTTCCTTTTTTTTAAAGTTTGTTTGGTTTTTTTTTCCCTTTTCCCAAAAGGGTTTTATTTGATAACTTTATTTGTCTTGAACCTCTTCTCGTGGAGCCCAGGCTTTGTAAAACTGAACTGTGCCATTGCATTAGTCAGTACTTTTTGCTTTATTGAAGATTTCTCTTTCTGATTAAAAAAAAAAATCAGAAAAAATACCAAAACAAAAACACTAAAAAACGTAACCCCTTCTGCATCACGATGCTTAGCCAGCCATTCATGTTAATTTTCCCTTTACACACACAATACTCAGTAATAAAGCCTTTGACATAAAAATGAGACCCTGGTTTAAAGAACTTTTTTTTTCCCTTTTTAAAAGTTTGCTTTGTTTTTTTGTTTTTTTCCTTTTTTTAAAAGTTTATTTTGTTTTTTCTCTTTTTTTCCTTTTTTTTAAAAGTTTGTTTGGTTTTTTTTTTCCCTTTTTCCAAAAGGGTTTTATTTGATAACTTTATTTGTCTTGAACCTCTTCTCGTGGAGCCCAGGCTTTGTAAAACTGAACTGTGCCATTGCATTAGTCAGTACTTTTTGCTTTATTGAAGATTTCTCTTTCTGATTAAAAAAAAAAATCAGAAAAAATACCAAAACAAAAACACTAAAAAACTTAACCCCTTTTGCATCACGATGCTTAGCCAGCCATTCATGTTAATTTTCCCTTTACACACACAATACTCAGTAATAAAGCCTTTGACATAAAAATGAGACCCTGGTTTAAAGAAATGCAAAACTTAATGGTAACCCCAGTACAGCCAGGGCTGATGCAGATTAATTGCTTAGGAAAAAAATAAATTCAGATTTAAATAAATAGTCCTGTAGGGTGGGAATTTCAGCCAGCTTTACAGCCTGAGGAATTCTCTACCTGGACATGAAATGATTGGTGTGGAACTGAGTGACAGGAGGAGCTGGGAGAAGCGGGGAATTATGATTTATTTCATGAACATTCTAAGATCTTTATCAAAGGTTTTCATTTTAGATCGCACAGATTTGAGATTCGATCCAGATTTAAGTTCTTTAAAAGACTTAAAGCTTATAAAGAGTTGAATTTTTCCAGTGTTTATCTCAGATGTTAGCAAGGAGCAGCTGGGTTTTAGGGATAGCACTTGGCCGTGAGGGTGGGACAGCGGCTCTGGGCGCTCCGGTGCTCCCGGCCGGAATTCCCGGTGCTCCCTGAACGCAATTCCCGGCCGGAATTCCCGGTGTTCCCTGAACGCAATTCCCGGTGTTCCCGGCCGGAATTCCCGGTGTTCCCTGAACGCAATTCCCGGTCCCATTCCCGGTGTTCCCTGAACGCAATTCCCGGTGTTCCCTGAACGCAATTCCCGGTGTTCCTGGTCCCGTTCCCGGTGTTCCCTGAACGCAATTCCCTGTGCTCCCCGGCCCCAATTCCCGGTGTTCCTGGTCCTATTCCCGGTGTTTCCCCGGCCCCATTCCCGGTGTTCCCTGAACTCAATTCCCGGTGTTCCCGGCTCCCTGAACGCAATTCCCGGTGTTCCCGGCCGGAATTCCCGGTGTTCCCTGAACGCAATTCCCGGTCCCATTCCCGGTGTTCCCTGAACGCAATTCCCGGTCCCATTCCCGGTGTTCCCTGAACGCAATTCCCGGTGTTCCCGGTCCCATTCCCGGTGCTCCCTGAACGCGATTCCCGGTCCCATTCCCGGTGTTCCCTGAACGCAATTCCCTGTGCTCCCCGGCCCCAATTCCCGGTGTTCCTGGTCCTATTCCCGGTGTTTCCCCGGCCCCATTCCCGGTGTTCCCTGAACTCAATTCCCGGTGTTCCCGGCCCCATTCCCGGTGCTCCCCGGCCCCAATTCCCGGTGTTCCTGGTCCTATTCCCGGTGTTCCCAGCCCCATTCCCGGTGCTCCCCAGCCCCAATTCCCTGTTCTTCCCGGCCCCAATTCCCAGTGTTCCCTGACAAAATTCCTGGTGTTCCCCGGCCCCAATTCCCGGTGCTCCCTGGCCGCAGTTCCCGATGCTCCAGAGCCGCAATTCCCCAGGTTACCGGCTCAATTCCCGGTTCTTCCCAGCCGGAATTCCCGGTGCTTTTCTAGATTCTACCGGGAATACCTACTTCATTCTCTAACTCCATCTAGCCTCTGTTCCAAGTCAGCCTTCCCAAGGCATCGCTCCCACGGCCGCAATTCCCGGTGCTCCCGGGCAGAATTCCCGGTGCCCCACGGCTCCGGAGCCGCGGCAATGCTGCGGGCCGCGGCCAGGGCAGCAGCTCCTCGTCCTTCCCGCCGTCCGTGCCCCCTTTCCCCGCCGTTCCCGCTCCGCTCCCGGGCGAGGCCGGGCCCGCGGCGGGGCGGGGGAGCCGCCACATCCCTCCCTCCATCCCTCCCTCCATCCCTCCCTTCTGCCCGCGGCGCCGCCGGGACCGGGATGCGCGGCCAGGGAGAGGAGCCGCCGAGCTGCGCAGGTACCGGGGGGCGCCGGGGCAGCCGCGGAGCCGCCGCGGGGCCGCCCTTTGTTGGCCGGAGCTGGCTTTCCCCGCTGATTCCCCTCAAGGTCGCCGGGCCTGGCCGAAGCTCCGGCCGCGGCTGACGCCGGAGGAAAATCCCCGAGGAGCTGCGGGCCGGGCCGGGCGGGCCGTTAGGGCCGTTCCCCGCTCTCCGGGCGGGGATCCCGGGCAGAGCCCCGGGCAGCGGGCCCGGTGCTGAGCGGCCCCGCAGCCCGCCGGGCTCCCGGCGCTGGCCGCCGCTCGGAACATTGTCCCGGCTGGATGTCAGGGCTCTGCGGGCCCCGGTGGGAAGGGGGAATGCCTCGAGAGCTGTCGCTGCTGTAAAAGAATGTTTAAAACTCGCCTTTGGTGTCGTGTTTTGAGTCGCTTTTTGTTGGGTCATGGAGCGTGGAGAACGCTTGGAGCTGGAGGGATGCAGTGGTTGTGTGCCAGAGGTTGTGACTTGAACCGTTTTGCCTTAAAAAAAGCTCTGTTTTGGTTTCAGTTTTCTTTCATGGGCTGCATTTTGGAAATTGGGAGTGTTATTATAGTTGAACTCTTTCTTTCTTTTTTTTTTTTTCTCAGCCCTCATGCTTCTGTGTTTGGTGTTTTTTTCCCATGCTCCAGCGTTATTAAAGTTATTATTTTCTCAGTAATTACTGGATTCTTTGGGTCTTGGTTCCATTTGTCTTTCAGAAGCTGCTGAGTTTTATCTTGGAGTTCAGAGTGGGATGTGGGATGGTCTTTCAGTTGTTACATTCAAGCTGTTCAACAGAGCAAATTAACTCCCTGCTAAAGCAAGCACTGAACCACCCCAAATTATTGTTTAATGAGCTGCTTCAGGTGTTGCCTGAGAAAATGAATAAACCAGGATTTTTTTTTTTCCTCTTCTGTACTTCATCCCTCATCTCGTTTTTTTCTAATGTGTTTTCAGGCAGTCCCTGAGTGCTTTTATTTTTGGTCTTCAGTTCACTCATCCTCCCAGTTTGTGTGGTGGATTTACCATGGAAGGCTCTTGATCCTGAGATGGGAGTGTGGTGATACTGGAATTGTTTCCAATAATGGATTTGTTTTGGATGAACAAATAAAAGCCCTCAGGGTTTTGTGAACCTGTCCGACCTGTCCGGCTGCTCCTTGAACACGTGCAGATTATAAATGCAATTTGAAAAACCTCTTTCTGAGGTCGGTTCTGAGCCCTCAGCTTGTGGGCTGCTGTCTCATTAGCTGTCCTCATTTGGCTGCTTTGTTATTAGCCTTGGATGCAAATGTGGAAAAATCCACTCAGGCCCAGGCCAGCTTCAGAAAGTCACTGTTAGATCCATGTTGTTATCTGAGGCCTCAGGTTTTTGGCTCCCTGTGGGGTTTGGGGAGCTCAGTCACTTCCCCCTCGTTCCTGAGGCTGCCCCTGCCCTTGGCTTTGCTCCTGCTCTGTCACTGATTAAATTTGTCCTGTAGAAGCACAGCAGAACTTGGGCTGGAGCTCTGGATCCCTTCCTGGAGCAGGGCAGGCTGCTGAGGGGGAGCTTGGCCACTGCTCCTTCTCCTCAGCTCTTGGAGGAGCCTGCTCGGTGTTCCCTGAGCCCTCCTTCAGCCAGGAGCTGCACGTGGGGTTTAGTTTGGGTGTGTTGAAAGGAGCTGTGGTCAGGATGGCTGGGGATGGTTTAAAGCCCCCCAAGTTCCCCAAAAGCCAGGCTTTGGTGTACTCCGAGCCAACTGCCAGGTGGAACCTTCTGTGTCTCCCTCCATCTCTGCATTGGAGCATGTCTGGGCTAATTCCTTGTGAAATTGGATATTGTGGAGCCACAGGGCTTTTTTTCTTCCTTGGGGATTTTTGATGTCTTGGGAACACATTTGGATTTATTACTTGAATTTATCATATCTTGAGGACTTTTGTCTTTGACAGTTTGTCCTTGGTGCTCATTTGTTGCTTTTCCAGGGAGTAGGATTGGAGAGAAGAGGGAAACGGATGGATCTCCTCTGTCCTCCTCGAATGAAGAAGACTTTGGGCTGTTTTGTGCTCTGGTACCTGAGTGTTTCCACTCCTCAGATTTGGAGGGGTTTGGGCCACTCCAGCTGGGTGGTTTGTTGGTTTTGGGGTCTGGTCTTTGTGGTTTTCAGTGTAGCTTGGAATTATCCTGGACTTTCACAATCACATTAAGCTGAAGCACTCACTGGCTTTGAGGAACTTTAATTAGTTAATTGGCTTCTTTGATAGCCCCACCCTGACTTGTCTGCTCTCCAAGACAGCTTTTAATATTCCTTCATGATGTCAGGGCTGTGGTTGGGTGGCATGTGTGGCTCTGTGGGGAGTGTTGGGTTGTACTCCTTGTGCTCCCACTGACACAATTCCCACCAAACCCTCGGCTGTGGCAGACCTGAGACACTCCTTGGAGCACGATGCTGAAAATCCCATTTGGCAGGGAAGGGAAGGTTCTGCAGATCCAGTTCTGCACTTGGGGCTGTTTCAGTAAGAGCTCCGAGGGAGGGATGGCTCCCTGCAGGATGAGACCCTTTCAGCCCTGGAACTGGGGCAGCAATGGGCTGAAGGTGATCCAGCAGCCCTTGGCACAGTCAGAACGTGCTGCTGAATGTGGCGTTGTGAGCTGGGGAGAAAACACTGCACCTTGCTGGGAGTTCTGAGCCTGAGCTGTCACCAGAGCTGGGCTTTGTTAGTCAGAGATCCTCTTTGCCCCTCTAGAGCAGATTAAATATTTAGTCTTCACTGAGGAGTCACCTCAGAATGTGAGAAACTGCCTCTGTCATAGGTAATTGCATTGGGGGGCATTATAGAAATGTGCTCATTGCACTTCTTATCACAGAATTTCCCAGGTTATTGTTTGTGAAAGAGCAAACAACCGGAAGCCAAATCACCAGGCTGATGCTGGAGATTTGCTTTTTGCTTTTCTTTTTAATTAGTGAGTTGAATGGAGCATTTGGGAGTTGTGTTGTTGCTCCTCCCTCTGTTAGTCCCACCAATGTGGAATGGAATAGAGCTGCAGAGTGCCAAAATCTTGGACACTTTTCCAGTTTTCCTGAGCAGGCCAAAGTCTGAATATAGAGCAACTTGCTTCAGTAGATAGAAATAGCACATTTGCTGTATAATTACAGAAACTGGGCTCATAGGTTTTTGTAAGGCTGAGACCATTTTCCTTTTCCCTTGGCCAATATATAGAAGGTAATTCACAGAGAAATCATGTTCATAAATCAGAGTAATTCCTGTAGTTCCCCTAGGGTTATCCAATGCTACTGAAGGCTTTTCTGAAGATCCAGGTGGTTTTTCTATGGTTTGCAAGAAGCAGTTTCAAAACTGAGTGTCAGCAGTGCATCTTCTGTGTGAGCTGTGGAGCAGGCTGCTGGGTTTTGCTGGAGAGGGTGATGGGATCAGCAATGGCTTTTTGTTCTCCCTAGCCAAATGTCCAAGGCAGTGTCAGGCCTGCAGTGGCACAGCAGAGCTCTGCTCTCTCTGAACCTCCTGTGCATTCCCAGTTGCTCCTTTCCAGCTGGGCCCTCCTGGGACAGCATCACAATGAGCAGCTTCTCAGAGAGCATCTCTTGCACTGCCTGGGGGACAGAGCCTCTCCTGAATTCTTCTTGCCTTGAACATCTCAGAAGTGTCCAAGGCCAGGCTGCATGGGCTTGGGGCAGCCTGGGATAGTGGAAGCTGCCCCTGCCCATCTGTTAAACAAATGAATGCAAGATCTTCAAGGTTCTTTCCAACCCACACCATTCTGGGATTATCTGCAGTTCCTGTGTTTCTTCATGGCAGTAACTCCAGAATCAGTTCCCGGCAGACTGTGGTGGCACATCTTGGTTGTCCTCATTTCTCCTTGCAGTTGGTGGCTCAGTTGGAAATTCTGGTTTCTGGTGTTACCAGTGATCTCTGTGCTGGCTCCTGATTCATTGCTGAAACTTACCCTGAGTTCCTGCAGGGGATTCAGAAACTCTCTGAAAGGGAATGCTCACCCCCAGGGTTACCCAAGTCCTGGCTGCCCAGGGAGGGTGTGTGGGATGAGGCTGGATGTGGGATGAGCTGTGCTTGCTGCTGCAGAGGGGAGATCCCATCCCTCTCCCTGTTCCCTTGTGCTGCTTTTGGTACCTGCAGGACTGTGCTGGCTGATTCACTGGAGAGCCCAGCAAAAACGTGTGGGTTTCCTTTTCCTGCCTTGGCTTTCTGTGGGGTTAGGGCTGCAGATTGGATCCCTGCACATCTGCCTTAGTGGGAGTGCTGGAGCCTGGGAGAAGGGGCAGCTGGAGCTGTGAGACCTCCCTGTTTGTGAGGTGTAGGAACATCTGGAATTGTTATCACATTGGTCTGATCTCACTGGACCTGCTGCTGGGAAAAAAGGCCCTTCCCATGCTGGCCATGGCAGTGGGGCGGGTGGAGGAGCTGGAGCAGCTCCCTCACTGCCAAAACTGCTGGAGTTGGTCAGGGAGCAGGTTGGGACGGGAGGTGGGTGTGACATGGCTCTGTTCTGGTCAGTGGGATTTTGTTTTTATTATTGTTTTAAATGAGTGATTTGATGTCCCCTGAATATCCCCTCCCTGCTGTACCCTGAGCAGCATTTCCCTGTGGGGGCAGGGGTCAGTCCCACCTGCCCTCTGTCCTGCTGCCCCTGGGCTTGCTGTGTCTCCAAACACTGTTGGCAAACTCCTTTCCAGGAGCTTCTCTGAGTGATTCAGTATTAAACCACATTCCCAGGATCTAATCCAGCCATCTCAGGCATTTCAGGAAGAAGTCCTCAGGCATTTTTGCATGTTCCTCCACTGGTTGGATCTAATGTGTAGCTTCTGAGTCCCTGGATTTAACCCATGGCTGGGGGGGACATTGCAAACACCCAGACTGTGCACAGTTTTTACTGCTCAGTTGGATTTTGATATTGAGGAGAGACAAACAGAGCTGGTGTGGAAGCAGCACAGGCTCCATGCTGGTGACAGTGGCTGGGGGAGCCCAGGGGTGCCCAGGTGGGCACAGCCAGGGCAGGGACTGTCCCCTGTGCTGGCCCTGCTGAGGGACCCGCTGGGATCCTGGGGACAGCTCTGGGCCCTCCCAGCAGGAGAGCCCTGGAGGGGATTGGACACAGGGTGGGTTTGATGATCCTGGAGGTCTCTCCCAACCTCAGGGATCCAGGAACCTGGAGATGCTGCAGGTGAACCCTGGACCCTCTGCCTGCCCTCTGTCCTCCCCCTTCTGGATGGGACTGCACAGCAATTGGAAGACATTTAATTCTTCTTCTTTTTTTTTCCAGATTCCAGAGATTTACTAAAGGAATTTCCACAGCCTAAAAACTTGCTCAACAGCGTGATTGGCCGAGCCCTGGGCATTTCCCATGCCAGGGACAAGCTGGTGTACATCCACACTAACGGGCCGAGGAAAAAGGTAACCCCATGCTGCTGGGAGGGTGGCACACACAGAGTGGAAGGGAGCCACAGAACTGCTAATCCTGGAAGCAACTTCCCAAAGAAAATCATAGGAGAGTTTTAGTTCCACTTAAAAGTTGTGTGATAATCCTGCAAACAAGAAATATTCTCACTTCCTATTTTTCCTGATCTTCATGTCCTTTAAAGGTGTATAAAGGCAGGTGC